CCGGTAAAGCGGCTGCACGCAGAGACTCGGAGCTGAAGTGAGGAGCGAGCTGTGAGGTCTTTGCTCAGCAGAACTGTGGCTGCTGCCGAGTGTTAGCGACGCTGCGTCGTCCATGGAGAGACTTTCTGATCCCGTTTTTGTCGTTTCCAGCTGTTTGTATCTTATGTGGATGAAAATATTATTATTATTATTATTTACAACACTGAGGCCAGAGACCTGTTTAAACTGGATTGCATTATTAGGGGCGTGGCCTCTTTGACTGACAGGTGGCTGTCGCTGCTAGCGTCACCTGAACTGGACGTCTGCACCATGTTTGTGATGTTGGAGCCTTAAGGAGCATTTTAATGACATCATGTGACCAATAACATGGCTGCTGTGTGGGTAATTGTGGGAAGTTGCTAACTAGCATTAGCTGCAAAGTTATCTAGATATGGTCACGTCCTACGAAGCTGAAGTGAGGCTTCAGGAAGACGTGTCGACCACCCCTCAGCGTTCGGGGGCCTCAGTTAAAGTGACATAATCAGAGTTTGGTGCGACCTCCTTCTGCCCTCACACCAGCAGTTTGGAAGGAGTCCACCACATCTCCTCCTGCCTCTTCTTCTTCTGTGGATTTCAGCCCGACTCCCTGACCTGCTCCTGCTGTTCAAAGTAAAACTGTTGGTAATGCAGCAGGCTGCGTGCGCATGCACGATTCTCCGCTCATATTCATGTCAAATAAAGATGCATTTTTAAGCTTGTAATGAAGGAGCAGAGGTGAGAGCTGGAGTGGTGCGTGCTGGTGTTCGTGCAGCTTTCAGAGGCAGTTTGTACCTCGGTGCGCTCTCTGCGTGGGCTGGTTTGATCTTTAGACCATCAGTTCAGCCTCCGCCATCGTTTCCACCCTCATTAGTGCCGATCAGCACACAGCTCTGTAAAGCCGGTCTCTTATTTATGTTCACGCAGCAGCTTCAGACGCACAGACTCAAAGTCAGCCAGCGTCCTCTGTAGCAGCATCGAGGGAGTTTATACTGAAATCAATACTGCCTGTTCTTCCTCACATCACAGGGTTTCTGACCTTTCTCTGGTGTGTGTGCAGCGCTGTCTCACAGGTTTGATCTGCATATTTGAAATGCTGCTGTTGTATAATCTGCTTAGCAACGATGAACGCGAACCTGAAGAGAACAATGACTTGCTACAGTCCCTCCCTGCTGATTTGCATTGTGTGCCCATGTTAGGGTTCACTCACATGGTTGTAAGTGTTTTAATATTCATTGCATTGCAAATAAAAAGCGCCTGAAATGGACGAAGCAAACACGTACAGCTCTGTGAAAACTAACTGCCTCTCATCTTAAATCATGAACGACCTGGAGCTAAGTCCAGCTTCACTGCCGGGCCTGGTTTAAGTCCAGACTTTGAGCCAATCAGAGGTGGAGCTGCTGGTTCCTGCAGAGCAGCCAGACCGTCACGCGACCACCACCCTGGCTGCTGCTGCTGGGATGTTTCTGGATGAAACGCAGAAAGTTCAGCTTCTGTCTCGTCAGCCCTCAGAATATTATCCTCCAGATGTTTGTTGGCAGATGTGCGACGAGACTTTGTGATCTTCTTGGTCAGCAGTGGTTTCTGCTTGGACTCTCTCATCTTTGCCCCGCCTCTTTCTTACTGTTGACCTCTGACCTTATCTGAGCCAGGTGAGTCTGCAGGTCTGCAGATGTTAATCTGGGCTCTTCTGTGACCTCCACAGCCTGAGAAATGTCTCTGTAACCCTCTCAGGCTGATGATGTCACTGACTTTGTCTTAC